AGTGAGCTGAGATCCTGCCACCACATTCCAGCCTGGGCAATGGAGTGAGACCCTGCCTCAAAAACCAAAAACTGAACAAACAAACACAATCTGTGTGTGTGACTACATGCGTATTTTGGTATGTGCAGTGAGGTCAGAGCCAATCTGACTGTTTTTGTAATTACACAGCCAACTTTTCTCAACACCATTTCTTTTTCTTTTCTTTCTTTCTTTTTTTTTTTTTTGAGACAGCATCTTGCTCTGTTGCCAGGCTGGAGTGCACTGGTGCAATCTCAGCTCACTGAAACCTCCGACTCCCTGGTTCAAGCGAGTCTCCTGCCTCAGCCTCCCGAGTAGCTGGGGTTATAGGCACAGGCCACCACACCCAGCTAATTTTTGTATTTTTAGTAGAGACAGGATTTCACCATGTTGGCCAGGATGGTTTCGATCTCCTGACCTCATGATCCGCCCTCCTCAGCCTCCCAAAGTGCTGGCATTACAGGCGTGAGCCACCGCGCCCAGCCCTCTTAACACCACTTCTGCTTCTTCTCCGAGAAAACACCAAACGGCGGATGACACCGGTGCAGCGGCCCCGCCCGGAGGCCCTGGAGGCCCTGGAGGCCCTGGGATGGTGAACCGCGGTGGCTTCCGCGGAGGTTTCGGTAGTGGCATCTGGGCCGGGCGGCGACCCTGCGGGGCCGGGGTCGAGGCCGCGGAGTTCGCCGAGGCAAGGCGGAGGGTAAGAAGTGAATGCCGGTCACCAAGCTGGGCCGCTTGGTGAAGGACATGAAGATCAAGTCCCTGGAGGAGATCTACCTCTTCTCCCTGCCCATTAAGGAATCTGGGATCATTGACTTTTTCTTGCGGGCCTCTCTCAAAGACGAGGTTTTGAAGATTATGCCGGTGCAGAAGCAGACCCGTGCTGGCCAGCGCACCAGGTTCAAGGCGTTTGTTGCTATGGGGGACTACGATGGCCATGTCGGCCTGGGTGTTAAGTGCTCCAAGGAGGTGGCCACCGCCATCTGTGGGGCCATCATCCTGGCCAAACTCTCCAATGTCCCCGTGTACAGAGGTTACTGTGGGAACAAGATCGGCAAGCCCCACACCGTCCCTTGCAGGGTGACTGGCTGCTGCGGCTCTGTGCTGGTGCATCTCATCCCTGCACCCAGGGGCACTGGCATCGTCTCAGCGCCTGTGCCCAAGAAGCTGTTTATGATAGCTGGTATCGATGACTGCTACACCTCAGCCCGGGGCTGCACTGCCATCCTGGGCAACTTTGCCAAGGCCACCTTTGATGACATCTCTAAGGCCTACAGCTACCTGACCCCTGACCTCTGGAAGGAGACTGTATTTACCAAGTCTCCCTATCAGGAATTCACTGACCACCTTGTCAAGACCCACACCAGAGTCTCCGTGCAGTGGACCCAGGCTCCAGCTGTGGCTACAACATAGGGTTTTTATACAAGAAAAATAAAGTGAATTAAGCCTGAAAACAAAAAACAAAAACAAAGACAAAAACAAAAACAAAACAAAAAAAAACCACCATTTCTTCATGTGGTGGGATTATATTTTAAGATCCTGATGTCTATACATATTTTCTACCTCGCCTCTTTGCCCTATTTAAGGGGATGATTGACATTGTGCTCAACCTCAGCGGAGGGATATTGCGAAGTCGTCAGGAAGGGAAATGTGTTTTTGCTTTCAAAAGCCAAGTTTGGGACTCAGAGCAACTTCAGAGCAAAGGCAAAATATTTAACTAAATATCTGAATGGAAATGGCTTTCCCAGCACTGGAAAGGGGGTCCCCCTTCAGTGGTCAGGGTGGTGTGACAGCTGGGCACCGTGACTCACACTTGTAATCCCACCACTTTGGGAGGCAGAGGCGGGCGGATCACGAGGTCAGGAGATTGAGACCATCCTGGCTAACACGGTGAAATCCCGTCTCAACTAAAAATACAAAAAATTAGCAGACTTGATGGTGCATGCCTGTAATCTCAGCTACTCGGGAGGCTGAAGCAGGAGAACCCGGGAGGTGAAGGCTGCAGCGAGGCGAGTGCTACTCCAGCCTGGGCGACAGAGGGAGACTCTGTCTCAAAAAAAAAAAAAAAAAAAAAGTGGTATGACAAGAGCGTAAAGGACCACTGGACTCAGGAGCAAAGGGGTCGAGAACCTTGCTTCACTGGCAGAGATGCTAGGAGCAGGGAATGGGGAATGTCTGTGGTGTGTCTAGGCAATGGGACCACAGGCAGGCCAAGATGGCGCCCATGCCCAAGCACGACATGGACACAGCTGAACATCATCTGACCTGAAGGGATAAGGACAGAAGACGAGGGGCCACCCTCCATCTCTATTCCTATACACCCGTTGTATAAAATTCCAGAACCAAGGCACACACAATAAGGGAAGCCGGGTGGGGGGCTTTAAAAGATGAGGTTAGGTTTCCTACTAATCTAGCGAGATAACTCAAAAATAGAAGTTAGGTTAAATTATAGATAAAAATCATTATAACTTTTAAAACTGTGAGTTGTAAAATAACATAAATACTTGACATAGTAAGTGTTCCGCCACTTTTTTTTTTTTTTGAGATGGAGTCTCGCTCTGTCGCTAGGTTGGAGCGCGGTGACCCCATCTCGGCTCACTGCAACCTCCGCCCCCCGGGTTCAAGCGATTCTTCTGCCTCAGCCTCCCGAGTAGCTGGGACTACAGACACATGCCACCATGGCCAGTTAATTTTTGTATTTTTAGTAGAGATGGGGTTTCACCATGTTGGCCAGGCTGGTCTCAATCTACTGACCTCGTGATCCACCTGCCTCAGCCTTCCAAAGTGCTGGGATTAGAGACATGAGCCACCGCATCCGGCCAGTGTTAGATTGTACGCTCCATGTGGGAGGGGAATGGGAGCCTTTCACGAATCACGGTGTGGTTCTGGCACCCAGCGTGGTGCCTGGCACATATAGAGGCTCTCAATAAGACAGTTTAATAAATCGATACTTTTGTATTACTGCTTTCATTATTGTACCGAAGACAAAATAATTCTGGGTAGTATTAGACCCTGATATTTTTTTAAAAAACTCTGTGAGTAGAAATAAGAATTTCAACTATTCATTTAAAGAGCACCTACTGTTTTTTAGGAGGTTAAGGCTTGGATTTGTCTTGGATGAAGGACTCTGCCTGTGTTTTGGTAACCTGTCCCAGTGGGTTTTTAAGTGTGCCTAGTATGCCGCAAATACTTTGATCTAAAACAGAAGTTTGAGAAGCTGAAGCTTAGCTGAAGCATATAAAAAGTCAACTTGCTGGGAGATAGAGTTGCATCTCTGAAGATTATCATGACTCTAAAAAAAAATGTTTCTTTCTTAAGTGTAGATTTATAGCTGCTCTGTGCCTATGCATTATTATTTTTGGAAGCTGTGGACTTGTAGTTGCTTTAGGCAGTTAACAGCAGGAGATCAGAGTTGAGAGCTTGGAGGTGGCCTAAAGACAATTAGCCCTGGCCATCAGGTCATCCAGGAAAATACTGTGAAAAGGCACTGGACGTTTGATTCTACCCATAGTTGTATTCAAGATTGAATAAACTAGGCCAGGCACGGTGGCTAACACCTATAATCCCAGCACTTTGCGAGGCCGAGGTGGGTCGATCACTTGAGGTCAGGAGTTCAAGACCAGTCTGCCAACATGGTGAAACCCCTAATCTACTAAAAAAAAAAAAAAACCAAAACCCAAAATTAGCCAGGCATGGTGGTGCACACCTGTAGTCCCAGCTACTTGGGAGGCTGAGGCAGGAGAATCACTTGAACCAGGGAGGTAGGGATTGCAGTGAGCTGAGATCGTGCCACTGCACTCCAGCCTGGATGACAGAGTGAGACTCTGTCTCCAAAAATAAAATATTGAATACACTATATTTTGGATTAAGTACTGATGTCACAAAACTATGTTCTGCTTTTTTTCTGGGGATGTAGGGAGAGGCAAAGGGCAAAGGGCAAGTTGACATTCCTTTTTTGAGATAGGGTCTCACTCTGTCACCCAGGCTAGAGAGCAGTGGTACGATCACAGTTCCCTGCAACTTTCACCTCCCAGGCTCAAGCGATCCTCCCATGTCAGCCTCCTGAGTAGCTGGGACTACAGGCATGTACCACTAAGTCTGGCTAATGTTCGTATTTTTTGTAGAGATGGGGTTTCGCCATGTTGCCAAGGCTGGTCTCGAACTCCTAGGTTCAAGTAATTCATCCGCCTCAGCCTCCCAAAGTGCTGGGATTGTACAGGTGTGAGCAACTGCGCCTGGCCCACATTCCTATGAATGGGGTCTTCTGTACAAAGAATGACTATCCCTCCGGTAAGTCACTCGGGAAATGGGCAGTCCTGGGGGAAAGGAGGTCATGGAAGACCTCTCCTCAGGCCTGAACCCTGGGCAGAAGGGCACTCCTGAGAGGGCCAGGTGGTCTCTCAGGCCTGGAGGCAGCCTGGGAGCTGGACAGAGAAGGGCTGGGTTGGGTGTATCTGTGAAGGGGGTTGGACATGAGTATTTGGAGAGCATATATGTATGTATATTGTGTGACCCTAGAATTCCCAGGTACAGATTGTATCTTCTGTCAGTTAAACACCTTTTTCTGTTATGCTAGAAGCAGCAATTTTATAACACCTAATAGGGCCATATAGTTTTCAACACAGTGATCAATCACACTGCATATTTGAACCTGGCAGATATGATTAGTTCCATTCTATGTGAGAGAGGTCTCCAGGTGACATTTATTCTGAAACAAGATGGGTCCCCAGCAGATTATGTCCTTCCATTTAGAGAGACTATTGCCAATAAATTCAGTAGATGGAGGACTGGATGTTGATCCAGTCAGGCTTACCAACATGTGATGATTCACTCAGAAGCTGTGTGAAATACTCCTTCATGACAATTACTAAGACCGACTGTTTAAATTCCTCTGACCATCAATATGGAAGCGATCCAGAAGAACAGGATTTTGCTGAGTAATGAGGGGAGCATATAGATAATCTCTAAAATACCCATGTCCTTGGGGCCAGTCTGTGGTACCTAATTTCAAGTTGTCTAAACTTTAGTTCCTTTCTTATCTCTAAGCTTCAGGATGTCCTGCAAACACAGTCAATCTGCCTCAGTTATCACAGCAGGGGGCTAAAGGGCAGGGCCTGTGATTCAGAAGGAATTCAGCAGAGACAAGCAGTGGGCGGATGTGGTGGCCGCTGAATGGCAGGAGATGATGGGTCCAAGGATGCAGCATTGGTTGAGCTATCAGTGACTGAGGAATGATTAATGAAACATGTAAACATTCCCCAGAGAATTCCCAGAAATACACAGAGAGCAGAACTTGGTAACAGACTTTCCTCTCTGAAGATAAGTAAATTGTATATTAAAGGGAACTGTGACCTCACAGACCGATGAAATTTGAGACACTCAAGCTGCATATGCTGCTTCTGGGCTATGAGTTCTGTGTCATATCTTAGGTAAGTACTACAATGTTTTAAATACCATAGACTTACGATATGTTTTACTATCTGGGAGGCCTAGTTCTTCATATTTTCCTTCTACTTCTTTTTATTACTACCTTACTTTTCTTTCCTTTCCACAAAAACTTTCAGTAGGAAAAACTTACACTAAAAAAGAGAAGAAGGAAAGGGAAATCACAATTATTGTGAATGCTTAAAGCATATAAACTTATGCAAACTTTGAAAAATTCAACTTTTTTTTTTTTTTTTTTTTTTAACTTTTTTTTGAGAAGGAGTCTCACTCTGTCATCCAGGCTGGAGTGCAGTGGCACAATCTTGGCTCACTGCAACCTCTGCCTCTCAGGTTCAAGCAATTCTCCTGCCTCAGCCTCCGGAGTAGCTGGGATTACAGGCGTGCACCACCAAGCCCAGCTAATTTTTGTATTTTTAGTAGAGACAGGGTTTCATCATGTTGGCCAGGTTGGTCTTGAGCTCCTGACCTCATGATCCGCCCGCCTCAGCCTCCCAAAGTGCTGGAAGTACAGACGTGAGCCACCGTGCCTGGCCCTGAAAAATTCAACTATTAACAGAACCTTATAGCTTCAGCATGAAGGCAGAATTGCATGTTTAGCTGCAGAAAACATGGAAAAAAAATGGAGGCTAGGATTTGATCAGTACATGAGGCCTTTGAGTTGAGCACTGGAGCGGAAAGGACTCTTCTGGATATTTTACTTCCATTTGAACTCTCCTTATCTTTTGTACTTTCTTTTCTCCTGTTAGTTTTACTTTCCACCCTGAGGCCTAGAGAACTGGATTTTCTTTGCTAAGTGGGTGGTATTGCAAAATGGGAACTATTCTATTCAAAGCTGGTTCTAGGAGTGTTTTGAAGTAGATAAACTTTCCCTCAGCCTGCCTTTCTGAAATTTGTTCTTTTTTTTTTTTTTAAAAAAAAAGGTTAATTCACTTTTTTCCTCATGTAGCTTATGTCCTTCTGCTTTCTTACTTGCTTATGATCAACACCTGCTCTTAGGAAAACACCTACTTTTTTCTTTTCTTTTTCTTTTCTTTCTTTCTTTTTTTTTTTTAGACAGAGTAACCCAGGCTGGAGTGCAATGGCGCGATCTTGGCTCACCGCAACCTCCGCCCCTTGGCTTCAAGGGATTCTCCTGCCTCAGCCTCCTGACTAGCTGGGATTATAGGTGTCCCCCACCAAACCTGGCTAATTTTTGTATTTTCAGTAAAGACAGATTTCGCCATGTTGGCCAGGCTGGTGTCAAACTCCTGACCTCAAGTGATTTACCCACCTCGGCCTCTCAGAGTGCTGGGATTATAGGCATGAGCCACTGCACCTGGCCGAAAAATGTCTACTTTCAATGATTTATACTTTAATTTTACTTAAAGTCATTTAACTATCTCCAACTTCTGAGACCTATGTAGAGCCCCCCATTTTTTCCCTGGGTTAAAAGAATTTCAGGTATTAATAGAGAAGATTAGCATGGCCCCTGCACAAGGATGACACACACATTTGTGAAGTATTCCATATTTTATAAAGTAATTTTAAAAAGAAAAAGAAGAATTTCAAGTATCTGGGAGCATCACGTATCTGGAGCTTTCTTGGGGCATCTAAAATTATGATAAGTAGGCTGGGCATGGTGGTTCCTGCCAGTAATCCCAGCACTTTGAGAGGCCGAGGCGGGCAGATCACCTGAGGCCAGGAGTTCAAGACCAGCCTGGCCAACATGGTGAAACCCTGTCTCTACTAAAAATACAAAAGTAAGCTGAGTGTGGTGGCAGAAGCCTGTAGTTCCAGCTACTCAGGAGGTTGAGGCAAGGGAATCACTTGGACCCAGGAGGTGGAGGTTGCAGTGGGCTGAGGTTGCACCACTGTACTCCAGCCTGGGCATGAAAGAGACGCTATCTCAAAAAAAAAATAAAATAAATAATTATAAGTAGGGGGCTAATTTTGCACTTCAATACAAGAGGATAAAGAAACCAGAGTGTTTGAGTCTACTTATTTTTGATAGGCTTGTTTGTTGTTATATTTTTCTTACATTTCCATTGATTCAGTGCCTAACCAAAACAGTTTAGATAAGCAGGGCATTCTACGTGAAAAGCTGTGAGTTTGAAAGACAGGTGTACAAATCTTCATTTAGTATCTAACTAGCTCTGACAGAAGTCTTTTTACCTTTTTGTACCCAGCTTCCTTTTTCAGACAATACATCTTTGATGATCGAAAACAACAACAGCCTGAAAAAGTTCCTTGTAGTTCTAGGAGCCCAATAGTCCAGAATACAGTCTTTATTATGTTCTTCTCTGGATAAAAGAACTGGTGGACTTTATCACATAATCCAAGAATGAAGAAAACAAAAATCTCAAAACCTACCTTTAGGAACAAAAAGGGCACATAGCAGGAAGCTGAAATATAGAACGTCTTCTGAGAGCACGGAGAACATTTAGCAAAAAGTGGAAAATCTGACAATACTGTACAGTCACAGTCTTCCTCTCCATAACAATAATTTTTCCTCCTCTCACTAAAATAGAGCAATTTTTATTGTCACAAGCACATGTGTATTACTGGCAATAAGGATATAGCTGTATAGGACACCTCCTTAAACATCTTCTTTATTTTAAGATTCAGTTAGGGGGAAATGACTAGGCGTTCCCAGCACTTTCCGGTTGCCACGGATACCTGTCATCCACATCCAGAGCCTGCAGGTTACACTCAGCGACTCTTGCCAGCTCATGAATAATATCGCTGAAGCCCGCTGCTGCTGCGATATGTACACATGTCTTCCCACTCTCGTCATCATAGTTGATTATGGACGGCCCCTGGTGATGGCTCAGGATGATGGAGCACAGAATCCTATTTCCACTCTGGAAAAGAGAGTCAAAGAAAGCTCATTATGTACAATCCAGTGTTCTTCTCTGTCTAGGCATGTTAAGATAAAAATACAAAGGAGAAAAAGGAAAAAGAAAGAAAGAAAGAAAAAAGATGAAAAGAGAAAAGAAAATGGAAAAAAAGAATAAAAATACATTCTATCTAAGCTCTCCAACAAATTTCCACTTGTCTCAAGTCACTGCAGAGATTTTTGTCTCCCATAGGAGCTAAGTTGTCTTCCATAATTAGCAAACGAAGGATGGACTGAAATTAAATACATGTGCAATGGACTGACATCAGAGCTAGAGTGATGGATGGGCCACCTAGACAACAACTTGCTCATTAGGTCTGATCATTTGTGTCCCCATTTGCTGTAGAGGCTGACCACCAGGAAACTGACAGAGTTCATCTTAAAGAAGTGACCATGATGAGTACCGACTGGTGGTGCAATGATGCAGGAAAAAATCTTGTTCCTGGGTAGGGCGAGCAGGGGGCTGAGAATTTGTCCCAGGGAGCCTGGGAAGCAGAACTGTCTGAGCAGAGGCTATACTCTTGTATCAGACTTCCTTTACAAAAACAATTAAAAGATAAAGTGAGAATTTCCAGATGGGGACCACAGAATATTATGCCTTAAGCACTAGGTCCCATCTGACTACCGGGCCCTCTGTGGCCACACTGGTTACATACCCATAAAGTAATCTCTGGCTACAGACTTTTTCTTTCTCTTCCTATGGTCTTCCCTTTTGTGTCTTCTTCCTCCCTCCATCTTTCCTTTGTCTAACAATGATTTTAAATAACTTTGACCAACTGTTTATATTCTATGGCATGCCTGTCCTTAGAAGTCAGCAAAGGCTTACTTAGGTGACTTAGGGGTCACCTAAAGCTTAGGTGAGCTTTCACGCCTTTATCAACTTTTCTGTTTGTTTCACCTCATGCTAGTTAGACATAGATCGAAGGAGTCTGAAATACATTTTAGATAGTCAAGAGACACTTTTCTTTAAAAGCAGTAGCCATTCAATAAGGAAAACAGAAGCAAAAAGAGTGTCAGCACAGCAATTCTTTTTTGTTTACCATTTCCTGGAAGAGTAAAGGAATTCAAGCTGTCAAGGCGGTTCAAAGGCCAAAACACCCTGTTCATAGTTTCCCCTCTTGGTGGAAGAAGAAGCATTAAGTGCAGATGGAGAAAACAAAACCCCTCTCTTCCTTTCATCTCGCTCGCCCCTGGGGTGGAGTCATTTTGGAAGTGGTAAACTGCAATAGTGGCTGCTGCTTTCTGGGACCCTGCCAGCCAGTCCCAGGCAGCAGGTCTCTCGGCAGCCTCTCTGGATAAGTAAAGACAGACTCCACACCTTTACTCTTTTCCTCCAAAATACCTTTTGTCCTAAATTCTCCAAACAATTCCCTGCCTCTATACCTGAATCTCACTTGTAGCACCATTGTTTGTATTTTACTTTTCTTTATAAGAATATCTTCCCAGGAATAATGGTGACAGCTGTATTTACTGTGTGAACATCTGTGCCTGGCACCTTTCTAAGCCATTTCATGTACTAACTCATGAACAACAATCCCACAAGGTTGGTACTATTATTGTCCTCATACCGTAGAGGAGAAAATGAAGGCGTAAGGGATTAAAAAATTTTCCCTCTGTCACAGCTGAGAATGAGCAGATCCAGGATTGACTGTGGAGGCGTTGGACTTCACCACTATACTATTCTGTCTGTGATAAAAAGAGTGGTCTATTAATTTGATCCTGCATATTCATACTGGAGGAACTAAAGTGAAAACTGTTTAGACGACATCAGTACCAGTGATGTGTGCCTCGCCAACTGAGACCTCCTTTACAGTTAATCTTTGGGTACTTTAAGAGTTTCTTCAGTGGCTCAAGCCTGTAATCCCAGCACTTAGGGAGGCCAAGGTGGGAAGATCACAAGGTCAAGTGATCGAGACCATCCTGGCTGACACAGTGAAACCCTGTCTCTACTAAAAATACAAAAAATTAGCCAGACGTGGTGGCAGGCGCCTGTAGTCCCAGCTGCTTGGGAAACTGAGGCAGGAGAGTGGCGTGAACCTGGGAGACGGAGCTTGCAGTGAGCTGAGGTCGCGCCACTGCACTGCAGCCTGGGCAACAGAGCGAGACTTCGTCTCAAAAAAAAAAAAAAAAAAAAAAAAAAAGACTTCCTCCTAGTAAGGTTGCCAAGGTGTACCCTCAGGAGAATTTGAGGGAGCCCTAGAGAACACTAGTTTGTAAGTCAAGGCCCTGGATCGCTTGTCTCCTGGTGACAGAATTCCCTTCTTAATAATCTAGACTGTGTGTCAGCCAAAAGTATGCTTAGACCTGGGAGGTAGGAAAAGTCACAGAGACCAGGAGACACTAGACAAGAAGAAGTGGGACTGTGGTCCAGGTAGGTCCTTAGGAAGAATGGAGAGTAGGTTTACATTGGCTAGAAATGTTATTAAACAGGGCAAGGAACAATATTGTACATATCCTACTCTTAAGGAGCTCTAGAATTCTACACAGAACTGCCAGATGATGATTGTGAGTTTGTTTTTGTTGTATTTATTTATTTGCTTTTGTTCATGGGTGATCCATAACATTGCCTTCATGTATTCTGAAAATGATTGGGAATTGAGTCCTAGTCGTTTTCTCTTTACCCATCATGAGTGGGGAGAGTTGGGGAAGCCTGACTCATAAGAAGCCTTGCCAAGAAGAAAGTTAAGCTAATGTGTAATAATTTTGCTACAGGCAGATTGATAAAACAACAACAACAACAACAACAACAACAACAACAAGATCTCAACATCCTAACTGTATACATTCTAGGTGACCTTCAAAGGAGTCCAGTGGGAGATTTAGGACTAGTTGGCTATTTGTTAACATATATCTAGGGAATATGTTCTATGGTGGCTTCTTCTTGGCAGAAACTCCAATCTCCTTCCTTCTCTTGAACACTGGGATGTGTTTGCGTTGCTTGTCTTGTGATGGTGACCATATAAAGCAGAGGCCAGTGCTTTAGCCTCTGCGTTGCAGCCACTTATCCCTCCTAAAAGGCTGGGAGGTTTTGTGATGTGAGAAGATGATCCTGGCTCATCAGTTGAAGCCAGACATGTTAGACTAGAATGGAGACAAAAGGAAGATCTAGAGTCTATGCCATTGAATGTTTGAGGGTCTGGGGCTAACTAGAGAAAGAAACGTGCCCAATATCCCTGGCTTAGAATCTGGACTGCCTTCATGGTTAGCCCCTTTGGACCAAGCCTTTGGTTGCCCTGGACTCCAGAGGTTGCCAAGCCCAAAAGCCTGGGGCTGCCTCTCCTGGAGAGAAAGCAGAAGGTAGAAGTAGTGGGAGGGGATGAGGTATGGTGACCCTCTGCTGCTGAACTACTTCATTTCTTTTTTTTTGAGACAAAGTCTCACTCTATTGCCCAGGTTGGAGTGCAATGGAACCACCTCGGCTCACTGCAACCTCCACTTCCCGGGTTCAAGTGATTCTCCTGTTTCGGCCTCCCGAGTAGCTGGGATTACAGGCATGCACCACCATGCCTGGCTAATTTTTTGTATTTTTAGTAGAGATGGGGTTTCACCATGTTGGCAAGGCCAGTCTCAACCTCCTGATCTCAAGTGATCCACTCATCTCAGACTCCCAAAGTGCTGGGATTAAAGGCGTGAGCCACTGCACCCTGCCCAAACTACTTCATTTCATAGAGGTGCTAATGCTTAGTGGGAGAAAAAGTTTTTCATGCTTTGGTGTATAGAAAGGGTCTGTCTTGGGCTTCCAGCTGTCTGGCAAGATGAAGTCTCCAGGATATCCATGTGTTGTCCTTACTAAGCCTATGTCTAGGAATCTTTCTGCTGAAATAAAGCCCAGCAAAGAGTAAGTCTCAACAAATATTTGCTGAGCAATAAATAAATAAATAAATGAAATAGACCTTACAAACTATGGCAAAGCCAAATAGGTTGGATTTTACCCATCCTTTTTGGCTTCTTCTCTCTCTTTTCCTCATTATCTTCCTCCATTCTCTACCTTTTCTCTTCTTTCTCTACTTGTTTTTACTCCTAGATGAGTCCCTGTTTTCCCTCATTCTACCCTCTCCCTTTCTCTCTACAATTGGGCACTGAGGACCTGACATGTGAGAGCCACTTTAACTTAGGTTACCCTTCGAAGCTCCAGCTTCCCAAACAGGTCAGAGTCTTTGCTCCTAGGGTAATGGGGGTTAATTTCCTAAATCTGACTTTCTCATTGTTTACTCTGGACTTAGGCAGCTTGGTGGTTGTCCTCTTATCAAGTATTGGAAGCCATGTGGCCTGGGTTCCTGCCCGGGTGCTGGATGCACTTGGGCAAATGCTAAGCTTTTGTACTAGTTTCCCCACCTAGGAACTGCAGGATTGGACTAAATGACCTGTGGTCCCTTCCAACTCTAAGCTTCTTTCACCTCATGAGCTGGATCCACTGGTATACAGTATTTAAAATTATACATTGGCATTTTGAATATATTGAGAGTTGAAATATATTCATGGGACTTTGACATAGTTCACACAGTTGACCACAGATCAACTGTAAGTGTATATGAGTGTGTGTGTAATTTCTTGCCCACATAACCACATATTGACAAAACATGAAATAATCATTTTATATTAATGCAATTGTTTTCTTTCTAACCTTCCTTGAAAAGTATGCTGCTGAAGAAGATCCCAAGTAAACACATTTTCTAGTAAGTTGGGGAGGGAGCTAGTGGTGAAATTTGAGGGATGGTAGATGCTTGCCCCTCTTACTGACCAGCAGTGATGCCTAGAATTCATATTGCTAGAAACACTCCTAGTATTAAGGCATTGTACTCCTATAAGGCTTGGTTAAGTGGCCAGTGTTATTCCAGAACTCTTCTTAGATCCATGAGAGAAGTTAGGTCACAGGGCAAGCAAGCTGCTGCCCCCAAATTGGAGAGACAGTCAGACAGGCAGATACAGGGACTCACAACATACTAGAGCAGAAACCTTTGAGGGAATCATTGCTACCTCTGCAGGGTAGAAAAATCCAAACTATAGTTAATGAATTGTCAAAGGCTCAGTGTGGACAAATCTGAGAGTATAAACTCAGTGATCTAGTTACATTGGTTATGGGGTGCCATGCTTTTGTGAATTTTACTTCCAGTAGCTCAACCGGCTTCTCACAG